GGTCTCGAACTCCTGAGCCCAGAACGATCCGCCCGCCTCGGCCTCCCAGAGTGCTAGGATTACAGGCGTGAGCCACCGCGCCCGGCCAGAAGCATTCATTCTGTTCATGGAAGGTAAACATTCTAAGATTAAATACTAAATTATTCAGGTTCTGCTAAAACATTAGATAAACCACTCTTACCATAGATACAAGAACCATCTTAAAAACCACATTTTTATTACACTGATGGTATTGCCACAAGTGAGATTATGGGGAAACTGCAATATATTTGCCAATTACATTTTTTGCAATGTAAGCTTCATGAGGGTAGAAATTTATACCATGTCTTCAGCACCTAAAATAGTACACAGCACATAGTAGGTGCCCAAATATTTAGAATAAATGACTACAGAACACACTATATGCTAAGTGCAGGTGTAAGTCACACCAGTCATGAAATCTAAAATATTAATGTTATGCACCACCGCTGCTGTGAACCTCACTGGTATTATTAGTATTAGCTATGTTGCCTAACAAATATATGGATATAAATTTTGAAGAGATAAAACTTCAAACCCACAAACAGCTGGCTCCCTAGTATTTTGGGTAGTAAGGTATTTTTAACTTCTAATTCTCACAACTCTTACTATGGTTATCCATACCAAACAGATGAGGAAACACAGAAGTTAAAAGCAACTTCAGCAGATGAAAGCATGTATTTCTTTTATAAGCCAAAAAATAATTTAGAATGTCTATGGAGAGAGATTACAAAAGTGTTTGAAGGTGAGAGCATAATCCCATAATTTGCTATCATTTTTGTAACTCCTAAACCTAACAGCAATGAATTTAAGACAAGCTATCTTTGGACAAATATATACATCAGTGACTCAGGCAGATTTTCAAGAAAATCACAACACTCTACATGGCACTGAATATAATAAGCAAGAATTAGTATCAATGGGGTACCTTGACCCACCCCCCCCCAACAGTTTCCTAAAAATTTAGACTTCAGGTGCTACTGCCCCAAAGGGAGATTTCATCTTCTAATACGTACACAAAATGCTAGTGACATATTACTAAAATTAAGCAAGCCCTAAACTACATAATGCCTCCTACCTTCTTTGTTTAAGGGCTTCCTTACAACATATTGGCGGACATCATCTTCTTTAGACAGATTGAAGAGTTTGCGGATTCTGCTAGCTCTTTTGGGCCCCAGACGACGAGGTACTGTAGTATCAGTCAGTCCAGGGATATCCTTCTCTCCTTTGAACAAAGACAAAAATTTAACAACTTCCTTATAATTAAGAATCCTAAATTAGAGGGTTAACATTGAATTGATAATTTTTAACTACACTTGTCAAAGTGTGAATAACACAAATGAAAAAGCATTTGGATAACTGGCTTTTAATCAATTTCAACAAAAATTGAATTACAGAATTAAGCCTCACCTTTTTTTACAATAACCAAGTTGAGAACGCTCAGGTTGGCATCCACAATACAACCCCGAACAGATTTGCGCTTTCTTTCTCCGGTTCTCCTTGGTCTATAACAGGAATGCCCCTTACTCAGTAGCAGGCGAACACGGCCATGGGTCAAGACACCCTGCTTCATGGGGAAACCTTGCTTGTCGTTCCCACCACTGATTCGGACCACGTAACCCTGCATGAGTACAAAAACGACACGTTTACTATTCCAAATTTATATAAAGCACAGGATTGTGGCTTCTATGAACCACACCTCTACTTGAGAGATTACAATTCATTAAGATCAATTTGAAGAAGCAAATCAATGTTTTTTCTGGTCACTAAGTTTTCTCCACATTTCCAATTTGCCAAGTTCAATTATCAAGCCACATTTCTAACCTATGTTTTATTAAAGACAACAACACTAAGAGGACGAATATGTCCAAGAAACCAAAATATGAAAGAGCAACAAATCAGAAACCCTTCTTAGCACTTAAAAATAGCCTTTGGGGACTGTTAGGACATTGGCCGAGTGCAAGATGCGTGGCAAGAACTCTGTTCACGTAAACTTTACATAGGTTTCCCAGCTTAATCTACATAACCCCTCCAGGTGACAGCTCAACTTTACAGAATGACATTTGGAGTAACTTACCCAAGGTCAGAATTCAGAACCCAGAATTTCAACCCCATTCCAAATGCCAATTATCAACAGCGTTTACCATCTTTCACTTAAAATATCTGCAACAACTTAATGGCCAATTTTTACCTTCCATTCTTCACCCAGCGCGTCGGCAGCAACTTCCGTGGCCATACGCTTCTCATAGAAAGTACGAAGTTTGCGTTCATCGTCCACTTCAATG